ACCATGGCTTTCTCATACTTATTCTTGGTTTGGGAGCTAGACAGCGCCCCATTATCTAGCTATGAAAGCAGGGATGTCACTAAAGGTGGCTTCTTATTACTGCTTAAAGGCCTATTAGAAATCTCATTTTGCTTTTTGGAGATGTCGTTGTGATGCAAAGCAGTTCAGGGTTTCATTACTGGTGAAAGCCCTTTGTTTGGGCTCACCCGTTGTGTTCTGAGATTTGCAGTTCTGTTTTCCTGCTGCTATTCCGAAACAGGAATACTGTTACTTTGAGGATTTCATGACATCAGTTGTGAAAAACATACTTAAAGCAGGAAAATTGCTGCTGAACAGAAAGGCACTATCAAATCTCCCCTCCAATACAAGTGACAAATTCTACTCTGTTTAGCCTTCCTGACATAGGATTTCCCTGTGGAGGTTCAGATAAATGAATATCTGCCAAGTTATTACTGTAAAGTTCAACAACGAGGGCGTTTTCTATGATTCTCCACCCTCCCTGCCCCCATTTTTTTTTTTCTTTGAAGCAAATGATTGTGTTTTCTTCTCCTTAACACTCAGCAGCTGCTAGACCCTGACTTCTATGCTACTGACCTTGTGAGCTGGCCCTGTCTTCTCTCTGGGCCACTGTTTCCTGGGCAGTTTGCATTCTCAGCTGGAAACGCTCAATGACCTTGAACACAGAGTCCCTTTACCCCTCTATGCCTCAGTTGTTTCAACTCTAAACAAAGGATAACAACTCATTCTTCATGTTATGTGGATTTAACAAAATCACGTGTAGAAAGTGCTTAACACACAGCTGGGCACAGAGGCAACTACCCATTCCACAAGTATTTGTTGAGTGTGCCTACTATGTGCCAGACATTGTCCTACATGCCAGGGACACCAAGAGGAGCAAACACAGGACCCATGTCTACCCTTGTGGAGCTTTCAGACCAGTAGAAGATTCAAGCATTGATTAGGTAATTACAAGAACTTCTATCTCCAAATTAGGCCAAGGACCAGGAAGGAAAATTACAGGAAGCTTCCTTGGGCCCTGATGTAATTAAAGGACATTTTTCAATTACTTTTTTTTCTTTTTGAGATGGAGTCTTGCTCTGTTGCCCAGGCTGGAGTGTAGTGGCACGATCTTGGCTCACTGCAACCTCTGCCTCCCAGGTTCAAACGATTGTCTTGCCTCACCTTCCCGAGTAGCTGGGATTAAAGGCACACACCACCACAGCTGGCTAAGTTTTGTACTTTTAGTAGAGATGGGGTTTCACCATGTTGGCCGGACTGGTCTCGAACTCCTGACCTCAGGTGATCCACCGTCCTCGGCCTTCCAAAGTGCTGGGATTACAGGCCCATGAGCCACAGCGCCCTGCCTCAATAACATTTGAATGGAGATCAGAAGCAGGAATAAGAGGGAACCAAGAAAAAGAGGTGTCAGGCCTCGCACCAGCCCCAAGGTGCATTTGAGCAAATTAGGAAAAGGTATCCTCACCTTAGGGCAGATGTGGCCACACAGCCAGGAGCAGAGCATGTGCTGGGTTTTAGCACCCTCTGGCCGATCAGCTGGGTGCCCTTGAGCAGAGAACAACAAGGACCTCTGTACAGGGTGCTTCTGGCTAGGAGTAGGGGGATACTGGAGGCAGAGGAAAGCAGCTTAGCAAAGGCCCTGAGGTGGGAGAAGCACCACACATTTGAGGAGCTGCCAAGGGCCAATGAGGCAGGAGAATAGGGCCTGGAGGCAGGGAACCTAAGGCTGTCTCACATCCTAGGACTAAACTGAAAGGAAAACCCTAACTGTCCATGCCTAAGTAGCAAAAGGACCAGAGGCTCCTCGCTTTTCAACTCCCAAAATTTTCTGCGCAGCAGATGGGAAATTGGCTGTCCACAACCAGTCAGACTGATTGCGGGCCGAGTCTTTGTTTGCATAGAAGTATAATTTTGTTACTTCACTTCAGCCTCTGGTTGGCTGCTTTTTACAACCAATCAGACTGATTGCTGGCTACCACTTACTTCATTTACATGAGGTGAGCATGAAGTGGCCAATGGGAAACTTCTAGGGGGTATTTGGACCCAAGAAATTATGTATCCGGGCCCTTGAGCCGCTGTTTGGGCCCGCTCCCACACTGTGGAGTGTACTTTTGTACTTTCGTACTTTCATTTTCAATAAATCCCTGCTTTCGTTGTTTTGTTGCTTCATTCTTTCTTTGCTTTCTTGGGCATTTTGTACAATTCTTTGTTCAAAACGCCAAGGACCTAGACAACTTGCAGTCACGACCCTCCACCAGTGACGCCCGCAGGGCTGGAGCGTGAGGAGCAAGGCTGCTGGGAGGGGATCCAGAAAGTTCTCAGTAAATATCAGCCAGTGAGAATGCATTAGAGCATCATTCCCATGAATTCACTGCCAACACACCAAGGTCTCCTTATAAACACCAAGGTCTCTCTAGAAGCTGTTGAATTTTAACTAGTGAAGGGAAATTACTTCAGGGATGTGATTTGTTGGTGTCACAGAACTAAGATATAGAGAATCAGGACATTGGATAAGGAGAGACATTTAATGTGGAAAAGAGGGAGCCCAGGCTGGGCTGGTGGCTCATGCCTGTAATCCCAGTGCTTTGGGAGGCCGAGGTGGGAGGATTGCTTGAGGCCAAGAGTTGGAGACCACATAGCAAGACCCTGTCTCTACAATTTTAAGAAAATTTACTTAAAAAATGTAAAAGAGACTGCGCATGATGGCTCATGCCTGTAATCCCAGCACTTTGGGAGGCAGAGGTGGGCAGATCACCTGAGGTCAGGAGTTTGAGACCAACCTGGCCAACACAGTGAAACCCTATCTCTACCCAAAAATACAAAAATCAACCGGGTATTGTGGCGAGCTCCTGTAGTCCCACTTCTCAGGATGCTGAGGCAGGAGGATTGCTTGAACCCAGGAGGCAGAGGTTGCAGTGAGCCAAGATCATGGCACTGTACTCTAGCCTGGGGGATAGAGTCAGACTGGAAAAAGAAAAGAGAAGAGAGGAGAGGAGGGGGGAGGGGAGGGGAGGGGAGGGAAGAAGGAAGGAAGGAAGGAAGGAAGGGACCCAGGAAGGAAGGAAGGAAGGAGAGAAAAAGAAATAGAAGAATCACCTTTACTTGGTCTCTTAAAAAGGACCTGTCCAGCCAGAAAACCAGAGCCAGGCAACAGCTCTGCACTCACTAGAAATAGTGCTGATAACTTCTATGTTCTTTGTGGCTTTGATTTCTTTGGTTCTGGAATAATTCAAAAGAGCATTCATTCACTCAAACAAATATACTACGTCAAGCTTTTCTTTTCTTTCTTTAAGTCAGAGTTTTTGGAAGGAAATAAAACCCTTGGGTCCTGGAGAATCATGCACCGTTGCCAGTTAGCTTTGCAGTCTGTGGCAGGCCAGGCATCTGCATTTGTTTGCCCAGTTGAGGCCTGGTGTGTCAGCACTCCATGGTAAGGGATGCTTGGGCTTTGGGATTGTAGAGGTCTGGGCCCAGATCCTGGCTAGGCACCTACAAGCTGTGTGACCTTGGGTAGGTTAGTCAACCTGTCTGTGCCATGAGTTACTGTAAGCTCTAGCTGTTATTTGGGATAGTTTTGAGGCCAGGGCACTTGGGAGTCCCTTACTTGCAAAGTCATTTCTGGGGATGCTATACTGGAAGCAGCCTCCATGTGATCCACGTCCTTTGAGGGTTTATTTCTTTTATATCTGAACTGTCTTGGCCTTTGCTTTTCAGAGGCAGCTATGTTTTGCTTTGGGGGAAACATAAAGAACCTGAATTAAGACAGATTTGTAAGTCCTTGTCATCTGTTAGTGCCTCTGTTAAACTTTTGGGGGGAAAAAATGAGTAGTCTTAATTTTTTAATGTGGTATCTTTGATTTTTTTTAAAAATCCTATAATATGAAAAATCCCACAAGAGCAGACACTATCAACTGATCCAGCACTTGAGATATTTTATTTCTTATTAAGATGAAGCAGTGAAACCAACCCAGTCGTCCCATAGTTTTTGTTGTTGTTGTTGTTGTTGTTGTTTTCGGATAAACATAGAAATTGACCCCTCCGGTCTTAAAGCTTAAAACTTAATTTATCTGAGTTCCTTCCTCAGGGAAGGAACCCCAGGCCTCTCAAAAAAAAAAAAAAACAAACAAACAAACAAAAGGCGGTATCAAAGAACTGATACTCATCAGATCACCACATCTAGACAATGAGATGCCAGAGCCCTCATTCATCATGATTGCTTCCTAGCTCCTCTGTAGTTCTTGTTTCCTTACACATTGTCACATTTCTTCCCTGCTGTATAAACCCCTAGTTTTTGTCCATTTGGGAGGTGGATTTAGGATTGATCCCATCTCCTCCTGACTGTAGCACTTGATTAAGATTAGAGTCTTCTTCCCTGGTAATACTCATCAGCTCAGTGATTGGCATTCTGTGTGGTGAGCAGCAAGACCTACACCAAACCCCTGATGTTTCTGTTGTTACAGAACTTAAAAATGTGCTTGAATTTAAACCACATTAACCTGGAATGCACACTAATCAGAGATAAATTCCAGTGTTCTTTTCAGGAAAGAGATGAACTATAGTCCTTAATTTCAATGGAAAGTTGGAGAAAGAGCTCTTTATTATGTCTCGGTCATACTGCAGTACATAAAGGCAGCTGCTCCTCTGTCTCTTGCATTGTATCCAAACAGTCTCATGTCAGTAACATGTATGTTGCACCTTCAGGACTAAAATGCAAGTATAGCAGCCTGAGTCCTTCAAAAGAAGAATAGGCTAACAATGATTTAAGATTACACCGTTTTTTTAAAAAAAAAAATCCTTCCCAGATTTTAAAATAATAAACGCTAACTCAAGCATATACTTTTCTATCTAAAATGACACTGTTGCCTGCTAAGAAAGGGGATGGATGAAGCACTTAATCAGAGAGGTCATTATGTTGTCAAAGGCAACGCCAAGGCTGAAGGACTGGATTCTCATGGGCATATGACCATTTTATTGCTTTTCAGCCCACGGCCGCCAATCCCACTCTCCCTCCTGCTGACAGAAGAGGAAGCGGCCCTCTACATTCAATCCTTCTGGAGAGCCTATTTGGTAAGAATCATATGCAACTGTGGTATTTGATTTAACAGGGAACTTTTGTGAGGAGGAGGGTCCAGGGGAAACCTTAGATGAGTTAGGAACAGGATATTATAGCTAACATCCAGACCTCAGAAATAGGATTCTCTGTAAAATGGGTCTTAAAGAGTGATTTAGAATTTTGACCGAAACTGGCTGGGCATAGTAGCTCATGGCTGTAATCCCAGAACTTTGGGGAGGCCAACGTGGGAGGATCACTTGAACCTAGGAGTTCAAGACCATCCTGGGCAACATGACGAAACCTCATATCTGCCAAAAAGAAAAAAAAGAAAAAAAATACAAAACTTAGCCTGTGTGGTGCACATCTGTAGTCTAGCTGCTCTTGGGAGGCTGAGGTGGGAGGATGGCTTGAGCCCAGGAGGCAGAGGTTTCAGTAAGTGGAGACTGTGCCATTGCACTCCAGCCTGGGAGACAGAGATACACCCTGTTTCCAAAAAAAAAAAAAAAACAAGTAATTTTTACCAAAACTTATTTTGTAGTTATTGAAAGTACTCTCTTCACCTTTTAAAGTTGGGTTGACTGGCCTGTATTGATATATACAGAGAAAACTACATTGTCATTTTAGAAAACAAATTAGAAAATTCAGGTAAGTCGGATAAAAGAAATAAAAATTTTTTGAGTCACTGATAGCTCCATCACCAAAAGATAATTATTGTTAACATTTTGGTATAAAACTTCAAACTTTAAAAATCTGAATTCACATAGTGACATATAAACACTTAACATAGAAAATAGCCTTTGCCTTTATAACATGTCTTTTTTAACCATTTTTCTATTTGAGACTTTGAAGTTATTTACAATATTTTTTATTATTGTAATAAATGCTATAATAGACACCTTCGTTCAGTCATTTTTGCACGTTCATCTGGTCATTTATATAGGAAAACCCTAGAAGTGGAATTTCTAGATGAAAAGGTAAGCTTTTTTTAAAGCTCCTGATCCTGGCTGGGCAGGATGACTCATGCCTGTAATCTCAACACTTTGGAGGGACAAGGAAGGAGGATCTCTTGAGGCAGGAGTTAGAGACCAGCCTGGGCAACATAGTGAGACCCTGTCTCTGCAAAAACATACAAAAATGAGCCAGGTGCAGTGGTGGGCATCTGTAATCCCAGCTACTTGGGAGGCTGAGGCAGGAGGATCACTTGAGCCAAAGGGGTCAAGGCTGCAGTGAGATAGGATTGTGCCACTGTACTCAAACCTGGGTGACAAAGCAAGACCCTGTCTCAAAAAAATAAAATAAAATAAAATAAAATTCCTGATAATATTGTCATGTGGCCCTTCAGGAAGGATATAGTGTAAGAAGTTCTCACCAAATACATATGACAGTAGCATGTGTATCTCATTCCAAAAAGTATACAACCTCTCCAATTATTTGGCAATTAGTGTATCAGTGTTAACAAGCTTCCATAAAGCTCCTATTCTAGGTAGCAAGATGACTTACCCCATATCTGAGCATCATATATCGTGGAATGAGCTTACATTTAACATCAGCCGTGGCAAACACCGCCAGAGGGAAAGGTCCCAGTGATTTCCGTAGAGACCAAAAGCTTTTCATACTCTATACACAGCTGGTGTAGGAAAAAGAGACTCTGATAAACACACCAGCAAACAGCTATCAATTAAGAAGTTGGATTAATCCTAACAAGCTACAATTAATCAACAAATATTTGCTACATGCCCATTAGTGGAACTGTCCCTGAACACAAGAGCTTACTGTATGAGTCAATATTGTCCAGTTATTCCACTCCTTTTGTGCATGGTACATTCCAGAAACCAGGGCTAAAGGGAAGTGTGAAAGTTAAATAACATATTTGCACATTAAAGGAGCAGTCTGTGCCCAAAGAGTTAAAAAAAAAAAAAAAAAAAACCCTGTTACAGAAACCCCTATTATTCCCTGTGATTTAGACATAGTTTTTTATAATGTAGGTTTTCACTATTTCATACATATTTTATAAATGTGGTCTTTTTTCTTCATTGAACACCAGAAGGTTAGCTTACATCCAGGGATGTCTAACCAAGGCAAAATATTCCTGCTGTTCAGATGCTACTGGAATTCCATCTTTGATTTGTGAGACTTATACTTGTTACACTAGAATCAGCAATTTTACTTTTCTACTTTTATGAAATGTTAAGAGCAGACTGTGAGTGGTGGCTCACACCTGTAATCCCAGCATTTTGGGAGGCCAAGGCAGGCGGATCACTTGAGGTCAGGAGTTTGAAACCAGCCTGGCCAACATGGCGAAATCCTGTCTCTACTAAAAATACAAAAATCAGCCTGGCATGGTGGCGCACGCCTGTAATCCCAGCTACTCAGGAGACTAAGGCAGGAGAATAGCTTCAACCTAGGAGGTGGAGGTTGCAGTCAGCCAAGATTGTGCCACTGCATTCCAGGCTTGGTGACAGAGTGAGACTCTGTCTCAATAAAGAAAAGGTAAGAGCTAAGTGCAATAAAATAGTCATTTTTAAGCCCGTCCTTGAAACAGGTGTGTGCTGTTTATTTCAAATGAACTCATACCCAGAAGCCCAGTATGTAACCAGTAATAACAGTAAAAGGGGAACTGTTCATCCCTGATTCTTCCATGGTAAGATTCCAGCCACCCTCATCCTCCCACACACAAGGAGCTTTGGGATTCATTCTTACTGATATGAACACAGTATGAAAAGCAGTCTGTAATTCCACTTATCATACCAACAAAGCAGCTGAATTCCACTTATCATACCAACAAATGCTGCCATATAAAACGATGTCAAAGTGGCTCAAAATTTAACTGTGGCTGTAGCACCATCATCACACAATAGCTATAAATGTGTTTATAGCTAAAAAGATGTTTGGGGGCTATCAGTGTATACTGTATGAAAATTCAGGCTGTTCAAATCTAAACACCTCCCCTGTTAAAATCATAACCAAAGGGGGCTACAAAAGGGGGAACAATTTTGAGTCATCACTAGAAGGAAAAGATGTCTGATGTATGGATGACCTTAGAAGGCACCACGGAAAAGAGGCACTTCCTCAGTCTTAAAGAGGAAGTGGGCACTGGTATGTCAGCTGGGACCAAGAGGGCATTCCAGGGAGAGGAAACAGCATACATCCATTGTTAAAAGAAAAACTTTAGACAAATTTCACAGAAGTTATTTGAGCAAAGAACAATTCATGAATTGGGCAGCACTCGGAAGCAGGAGAGAGGTTCAGAGAGCTCTACCCAGCAACCTAGGCAGGCCTTATTTATAGACAGAAAGTGGAAATGACATCCAGAAACAGCTTGATTGGTTACAGCTTGGCATTGCCTTATATGGACGTGGTCTCATCAGTTGGCAGCCTGCAATCGACTGAAGCTTGTCTGCTGTGATTGGCTGAGACTCAGCTACTTGTTACAAGAATGTACTCATAGATTGCAGTTCATGATCCATGGAGGCATGTTTAGGCCGAATTTAATTTGACACTATTATGCCATTTTTTGTTAAAGCATATTGTATATTTTGAGCACATGCACACACACGGATAGGAAATTAGCTAAAAGAAACAGCAATCTGACAACAGCGAGTACCTTGGGGTGGTTGGGAAAGAACTAGGAAGACTCTAGCCTTATGTATACTGAACACTTTTTTGTTTGTTTTTGTTGTTTTTTTTTTTTTTTTGAGATGGAGTTTTGCTCTTGTCACCCAGGCTGGAGTGCAGTGGCGTAATCTCAGCTCACTGCAACCTCCACCTCCCAGGTTCAAGCAATTGTCCTGCCTCAGCCTCCCGAGTAGGTGGGATTACAGGCGCCTGCCACCACATTCAGCTAATTTTTGTATTTTTAGTAGAGACGGGGGGTTTCACCATGTTGGCCAAGCTGGTCTCAAACTCCTGACCTCAGCTGATCCACCCACCTCGGCCTCCCAAAGTGCTGGGATTACAGGCGTGAGCCACTGCACCCGGCGACACTGAACACATTTTTTTATAAAGAGAATGTAGTATGATTTTCTTTAATTAAAAATGAACTTAAACCAGAGATCATCTCAATGGATATAGAAAACGCATTTGATAAAAATGTTTTCATGACAAAAACACTTAACAAACTGGGAATAGAAGGGGATTTCCTCAACCTGGTAAAGTTATGAAAACCACAAAGCTAACATCACATTTAATGGTGAAAGACTGAATATTTTCCCCCAAGATTAGGAACAAGAGGAAAATGTCCTCTCTTGCCACTTCAATTTAACATAGTACTGGTGGTTCTAGCCAGGAAAATTAGGCAAGAAAAATAAATAAAAGCATTTGGATTGGAAACAAAAAAAGTAAATATATTTCCAGTCATAGATGACAAGACCTTATATATAGAAAATTGTAAAGATTCACTAAAAACAACCTATTAGAACTAATAAACAAGGTTGCAGGATACAAGGTCAGTATACAAAAAACAACTGAATTTCTATACACTTAGCAATGAACCATCTGAAAATGAAATTAAGAAAATAATTCCATTTGCAATGGCATCTAAAAGAATAAAATATTAGGAATAAATTTAACAAAAGAAGTGCAAGGCTTGCATGCTGAAAACTATAAAACATCATTGAAAGATATTAAATAAAACCTAATCAAATGGAAAGACATCCTGTGTTCATTGACTGGAAGACTTGATATTGTTAAGATGGCAGTACTCCCCACATTGATCTACAGATTCAACACAATGCCTATCGAAATCTCGGCTGGGTTTTTTTTTTTTGTGTGTGTGAAATTAACAAACCAGTCCTAAAATTTGTATGAAGATGCGAAAGGACCCAAAACAGTCAAAACAATCTTGAAAAAGAAGAACCAAGTTGGAGGACTCACCCTTCCCTATTTCAGAACCTACTACAAAGTGCAGTAATCAAAACTGAGTAGTACTAGCATAAGGATAAATGTGTATATAAATGGAATAGAATTGAGAGTCCAGAAATAAACTCTCACATTTATGGTCAATTGATTTCCAACAAGGGTGCCAAGACCATTTAATGGGGGAAAGAATAGTCCTTTCAACAAACGATACTGGAACAACTGGATATTCACATGCAAAAGAATGAAGTTAGACCCTTACTTGATATCTTATACGAAAAATTAACTCAAAATTACTTAAATATCTAAATGAAAGTGTGAAAACTATAAAAATATTAGAAGAAAACATGGATGTAAATTTTCATGACCTTATATTAAGCAACAGTTTATATAACAAAAAGCAAAAGCCACAAAAGGAACAAAATAGATAAATTGGACTTCATCAAATTAAAAACACATTTTGTGCTTCAAAGAACATCATCAAGTGAGTGAAACAAGAACCCACAGAACAGGAAAAAATATTTGCAAGTTCAGGCATTCGATAAAGGTCTCATATTTATAATATATAAAGAACTCTCACAACCCAACAATAAAAGTACAAATGACCTATTTACAAAATTGGCAAAGGATTTGAGTAGACATCTCTCCAGAGAATATATACCAATGGCCAATAAACACGAAAAGATGCTCAACATCACTAGTCATAAGGAAATACAAATCAAAACCACAATGAGATACCACTTCATATCCACTAGCATGGCTAGAATCAAAAAGACAGTAACACAATAACAGAGTGCCACCACACCTGGCTATTTTTTGTATTTTTAGTAGAGACAGTGTCTCACTATGTTGGCCAAGCTGGTCTCAAACTCCTGGCCTCAAGTGATCCGCCCTTCTCGGCCTCCCAATGTGCTGGGATTACAGGTGTGAGTCACTGCGCCCGGCCTGTTTCTTCTTTCAAAATTCGAGTCTAGTGGTTGAAAAGTCAGATTCTTTGGGTGGCCAAGGTGGGTGGATCACCTGAGGTCAGGAGTCTGAGACCATCGAGACCAACTGACCAATATGGTGAAACCTCGTCGCTACTAAAAATACAAAAATTAGCTGGGCGTGGTAGCGGGCGCCTATAATCCCAGCTACTCAGGAGGCTGAGGCAGGAGAATCACTTGAACTCAGAAGGTGGAGGTTGCAGTGAGCCGAGATTGTGCCATTGCACTCTAGCCTGGGGGACAAAAGCGAGACTCTGTCTCAAAAAAAGAAAGAAAGAAAAGTCAGATTGCTTCAATGTGCAAAAACTGAGTGTTGGTTTTTTAATATTGCGAATGAATTCTGGTTCCGTTCTGAAAACTCTCCTTTTCCTAGTGTGATTGGTGATAAGTCACGCACTATTGCATCACTGATGTTCTTCAGTTTCTGAAATCTTGGATACAATTGGTAAGAAAAAAACCTTGCTTTCTTGTGAAGTTCAAATATGAGGTTCTTATGCGCCATCATGATTGAAATTTCTTTAATGATTTTAGAAGTAGAGACCAGATAAATCCACTGAATATGTATTCTGTCTGAATAAGCGCCCGTGGTGTTTTATGCCTTCTAC